TATTTTTGGGAAATGGTGGGGAGGACAGAACAGAAAAGGCGATTTAGATAGGCTTAGCAGTTCAATAGAAATGTTCATCAGAAGGTCAGCAAAAATGTTTAATAAGAAGAAATGTTCAATAAAAATTAAACTTTAGAAATGTTCATTAGAAACGTTTTGCAGAAATGTATAGCGGAAATGTTTAGCAGAACTGGTCGTTAGAAATGTTTAGCAAAAATTGTTCAGTAGAAATGTTCAGTAGAAATGTTCATCAGAAGTGTTCAGCAGAAATGTTCAATAAAAATTAAACTTAACATTTTTTTTATATATATATATATATATATATATATATATATGTGTATATATATATTTATTTATTTATTTGTAGAGTCACATATTTCATATCCAGGGCGCACGGTGTCTTAATGATTAGCATGTTCGCCTCACACCTCGAGCCCAGGGTTCGAGTCCCACCGGGGCCCTGTGTGTGCGGAGTTTGCATGTTCCTCCCGTGCTGCCGGTGTCCCGCCCCCCTCCCCCCCCAGTCCAAAGACATGCATGGTAGACATGCATGATTGTCATAAAGTGTCCGTAGTGTAAGTATGAGTGTGTGAGTGTGTATGTGATTGTGCCCTGCGATGGATTGGCACCGTCTCCAGGGTGTTTCCCGCCTTGTGCCCGATGCTCCCTGGGATAGGCTCCAGGTTCCCTGTGACCCTGAAAAGGAGTAAGCGGTAGAAGATGGATATTTCATATCCAGTTAATTTTAATATATAAAGAAGTTTATATTATATATTACCAGTTTGATCTTCACTGATGAAGTAGAAATGCTTTTGTTTGTGGTGAGTGAATGTGAGACTAACAGGAGACACTTTACAGTTTAGTCAATGTTAATATGAATTAATAACATTCAATAAGTTAATAATCTTACTTTAATCTTCAGAATTGAGTTCATGTGTTAATGTTAATTAGGGTAAGGTGTTTTGTTTATGAGACCAGTTACTGTGTAACAATTTGTTGAAATGGAGAGAATAAAGTTTTTATTTGCATTTCTTTCAGAATTGTGGAATTAATCATTATTAATTTAAAAGATAGGTATAAAAAGGCAAAACTATCGGTATCGGCCGATATCACTCTGAATAATCGGTTATCTTATCAGCCTGAGAAATTTAGTATCGTGCATCTCTAATTGCTTTAAATAAAATGATGGTGTTCTGGCAGCATTTTAAAGCTCATTAGCTTCTGGGAGTCAACTTCAGAGTTCATGGCACCCTTCCAAAAAAAACAAAACCCCAAAAACATATGCGATAAATGGTAGTTTAAGCTTAAACATATTGGCACGCTTCATACTGTAGTTTTATTTTAGTATTTTTTTCAACATTAAATATTTTTGTAATTGGTGTTCTGTAAGTAAGTGTTATAAACAGAATTCATTTTTTTTTTTTTTAACCTCCTGGCAGAGGCAATTGTAGCCTATATGGGTTAAAATAGCCTGATAGTTGGCGGAATTCATGATGCTATCAAGCCCTAGCGCTTAAGACTGTTTGCAGTACTGGCCTGAAGTGAGAACTGACTTTTGTTAATTTAAAAACAAAAAAAATATTATTATTTTTTTTTGTACAGTTCCCTCTGAAAGCATTGGAATGGCAAGGCCAATTCTGTTGTTTTTACTATACATGGAAGACATTTTAGGTTTATGATCAAAAGATGAACATGAGACAATAGATCAGAATGTCAACATGAGATTTGTTAAACAACTTAGAACATGGCACCTTTTGTTTGAACCCACCCATTTTTTTCAAGTGATTAAAAGTTTTGGAACATGTCACCTTGTTTGCCCTGGTGTGCCCTATTAAAAAAAAACCTGAATGTCTACTCTTGGTTTGAGCCCTAGGTTTTGCCTGTGAAGACTGCATTTGTTGTTAAAAAGGATAAAGCAACAAGAAGACCAGAAAGTTTTCTGTGGGGAAAAAGCAAGCCATTTTGAAGCTGAGAGGAATAATAGGTTGCACAAATTGCATCTGCAACAATTTGTGTTTAAAAAATATGTACTACAACCAAGTAAAGTTGGTAAAAAACAAAATAATGTGAGAGTTAACAAAAGGTGTCTCACACAATACCGTTTGAGAGATTTGGAGAGTAACATAACAATAACATCAGCAGTAATTTACATAAGTAGCAAAAGAATTATTCAAAGTGAAGGATTGGAATCATGATCATACGCATTGTAAGTGTGGAGGTAGTGTTGGTTGGTTGGCTGTTCTGATTTTAAATATGGATTTGCAAATCAGATGTATTCAGTATAGCAAAAACCAATGAATCGACCTTGTCTGTCCAATACTATTGAAGGGAACTGTATTTATTTCACAGTTTATTTTCTTGTTCTGGTATAACACTAAGTATGAGCATTGGTGAGAACATCACAAGTACACAGACAGTAGTATAGTATATGTTGTTATATCTGAACATTTATATTCCCCAATACAATTTGACCCAGTATTTTTGCCTACATTTTTAAAATGACAATTTAATGGTACTTTGAATACACCTCTTTCATGTTTCAGGTTACTCTTTCATCTGTTTATTAATTTTTTTCACTCCGTTTTGAATGTGCTGTTGCATTCAAAAGCGTGGGTGGCTTACGTGTTACATATTCATCTGTTGCATTAATATGCAAAACGTAAACCAGTTGTATTGGTATGAATAATCATTATTATATGATAAGAATACTCATTACTATATGATATGAATACTCATTACTGATATGAATACTCATCACTAACCTACTCATGTGAGGTATAACTGGTAGGAATGCTAATTTTTTTCAACTTTTCTCCACAATATGATGACCTGGAAATTCCCACCCACTAGGTAGCTTTAACCTGTCACATGAGTGCTACCAACTGGGGAGGGTTATGGTTAACACCTGCTTCCTCCAAGACGTGTGAAGCTGATATTTTATTTTATTTAAAACGCTGCTTCTCATACTGTGTCACAGGGCAGTGTAACACACTCGGAGGATAATGCTCTAGCTCACAGATGCCTATGATTGGCAGGTGTTTCTCTGATTGACAGGGGACGAGAGAGTAATGCCATCCCAAGCACTGCTGGTTTTGGACTCCTTGCTACAGACTTGTGGACTCCTGGCTTTGGATGGCTCTGGCATCATCGTGATCTCCCGACGATGGGGTGGAACGCTTTTCTCTTGCACCCATTTCCTGTCTCGGACATCATCAATGTGTACAATATTCTGCAAGCATCTCAAATCAGTTTTACGCAAATCATCCCATACACCACCCTACATCTGGCCCTCACGCACCTGCGCAAAAAGGACAACTACGTCCGAATGCTGTTCAAAGACTTCAGTTCAGCATTTAACACAATCATTCCTCTGCACCTGATTTGAAAGCTGAACCTATTGGGCTTGAACACCTAAATCTGCAACTGAGCCCTCAATCAGTCCGGATCGGGAGCAACATATCCAGGACCACCACACTGAGCGCAGGGGCCCCCCACTGCTGTGTGCTCAGTCTACTGCTGTTCACTCAGCTGACTCACGACTGTGCAGCAACACACGGCTCCAATCACATCATCAAGTTCACCAATGACGCGACCGTAGTAGGTCTCAACAGCAAGAACAACAAGTCCGCATGCAAAGAGGTGGTGCAGCGGTTAATGTACTGGTGCAGAGATGTACAATCTGGCTCTGAATGCGGACAAATCAAAAAAAGATGGTTCCCTGGTTCAACACCAACTCCATAACCAAGAAAGCTTAGCAGCGTCTCTATTTTCTGCGAAGGCTGGAAAAAAAAGAGACCATCTTCCACCCCTCATCCTCACCACGTTCTACACAAGAACAATTGACAGCATCCTGAGCAGCTGCATCACTGCCTGGTTTGGAAATTGCACCGTATCGGATCGCATGACCCTGAAGCGGATGGTGAGGATCATTGCGGTCTCTCCAACCACCATTATGGACATTTACACCACACGCTGCATCCGCAAAGCCACTAGCATTGTGGATGACCCCACAGAAACTCTTCACCCTCCTGCTGTCTGGAAAACGGTACCAAAGCATTCGGGCCCTCACGGCCAGACTGTATAACAACTTCTTCCCCCAAGACATCAAACTCCGGAATACTCAGAGTCTGGACTGATACACACACACACACACACAGACACACATACTAAACTGAACACCATCCCACTCCTCTTGCAATTTTTGCACATTTCTGTACTGACTACCTCTATTTCTACTGCTCCTGTACTTATAAAAATATTATGTTCAATTTCTTGTCAGCAATATACTCTTTACCTGGTGTCCACATATGGTATAAGCTAATCTGCTGAATACTGTGTCATAGTATGTTAGGTTTATGTTCACAGCATTTCAATGTTTTATATATATATTTTTTAATTATTATTATATTGTTTTTCTTTTGCACTACCTGTTATATCTGACCCTTTAACACCAGAACTGTGTACTCGTCAGCAGTACACTCTCTTACTGTGCCCATTATCCTGTTGTAGTTACTGTACTGTCTTGTGGTGTTTACATGTGCACTTTATATCGAATGTATATGTTGAATGTCTGGTTTTAGTTCTGTGTCGTCTCATGTTACTGTGGTGTTTTATGAAGCACCCTGGTCCTGCAGGAACGTTGTTTCGTTTCACTGTGTACTGTACCAGCTGTATATGGTTGAAATGACAATTAAAAGCCATTTGACTTCACTTGACTTGACATTGTTTTTAATTCTCCCTGGGACAACGGGATCGTGCTAGTCTGAGGTCCGAGTCTGAGGCCTAGCCTTGAGGACCCCGTCACCACTAGCTGCAAAAGATCTAAAAAGCACCTATGATCATTTTATGGAAAACGTATGTGTAATCGTAATTTTATACAATCATGTTTTTGTTTGTCTTGAAATTTACAAAGAGTTCTGTAGCTGACATTTATATTGGATTCTCAAAGTAATAACATTTGGGTTCATTTTTTAAAGAATTTTTATGTGTCAGTAATGGGGGGCATGGTGCTTTAGTGGTTAGCATGTTTGCCTCGCCACTCCAGGGTTGGGGGTTAGATTCCCGCCTCTGCCCTGTGTGCACAGAGTTTGCTTGTTCTCTCTGTGCTTTGTTGGGTTTTTCCAGGTTCTCTGGTTTCGTCCCCGAACCCAAGACGTGCTGCAAGCTGATTGGCATTTTCAAATTGTCCATAGTACGTGAATGTGTGTGCGATTCTGCCCTTCAATGGGTTGGCACCCAATCTGCCTGGTGCCCGGAGTTCCCTTAGGATAGGCTCTAGGCCCCTGTGTAGGATAAACAGGATGGCAAATGGAAGGATGGATGGATGGATGGATGGATGAATCCAGTACTCTGGAAACGTGAATGTATCTTGTAGTCCGGAGATGCTCCTAAATTCAGTTCTCAGACACCCAGCTGTATGGGAGAACATGGTGGATACAAACGCACACTTGGACTGGTGTCTTGGCACGGCTTCATATCTCTTTATGTACTGTGTATCTGTAATGTTATGAGTCTATTTAATATACTGTCATGGGACAGAGATACAGAACCACACACTGGTGAATAGCATGTAAGCTTTTAAACTTCGACCCATCTACCTATTAACACTGATATCCTCCAGGTTAAAAAATTTTTTAAGAAGGAGTGAGTGTCTGCTGGTTATCTCTACCAGCCCTCTCAGACCTCATTTGGCCCCTGTGTATTTTGGGTCAGTGCTACTGAGGCAGATAGTCAACTCCTGCTGCTTTAATTTCCTCCTGTGGACCTGGTCCTTATACTGATGGCTCAGGCCTACACCTCCCATTCGCCTCCCATTCGCCTCCCAGTGTGTGTGTGTGTGTGTGTGTGTGTGTGTGTGTGTGTGTGTGTGACCTATATTTTCCGTGTCACAAATACTGGTCACGTTTGTCTGCTGCATTTCTGTGACGGTGTACAGACGAAGTACAGTGAAACGATGTCAAGTCACAAAGAGACACCATCACAACATAATCTGAAACTTTAATGTTTCCGATTTGTTTTTCTTTATTTATTTGCAGTAATGTAGTTGCCGATATTTAGCTTGATTTTGAAATTTCTTTTGCCAGCCGTGATTCCAAATGGCCAATTAAAAAAATCTACTACTACACAAAGTATTACACTGTATTCACACCAGCAGAGAGTTTCTCCTCAAATTGATATACCTGTGTGTGTGTGTGTGTGAGTGTGTGTTCACTATGGGCTATCTAGTTTTATCTTGAGCAGGTTGCTATTTTTTCTGGGAGGTCATGATAGTGTTATATAGCAGTATAACTACATATATAGCTAGCTACATAACCAAGCTATGCAGCGTATGTAAAGGAACCCTTCTGAAGACAAATGAGATTCTGGAGAGAAATGATTGTGTAAATATTTGGGATGGAACTGAATATGAATACATTATTCTGACTGAATAGATAATGCATCCTAAATGAATATGAATAAAGATACAAACAACAGGCAGAGTACTTGGTTATTTAAAAAAATATATATATTTATCTTTTTTCGGAGAAAGCTCGCCAAAATTGTTCTGCAAATTTCAGAGCATAGTGGCAGAGTAAACCTAAAAACCAAATAAATGTGGGCACACGTACGTTTCAGGGGAAAAATTCAATTCAATTTTACTTGAATAGCACTTTTTATAATAGTCATTGTCTCAAAGCAGCTTTACAGGAATATATAAACACGGGGATACAGATTTTAAATGTGTGAGTTTATCCCAGTCGACGGTGGCAAGGAAACATTCCCTAAGATGTCAAAAAAACCCTTTACAAAATACTGCTGCCTTGGTGGTCTTACAACACCTTCCTCTTTATCAGATGTATGTTACATAGTGAGAATATGTAAACCAGGTTATTGGGACAGATACAAGTTCCCTAGATCTGATTTTATTTGCAGGCTTTTTCTAGGAGCAGCAGCGATGGACAATATATCCCTTCTATAGATAACTATACTCTCAATGGCCTGGAATTTTGGTCTTGACAGGGTACATGGTGCTTTGTTGAAAGTGGTTTGATTTCATGTATAACAAAGTTCTGAGCTGTTGGTTGAACAGCAGTAATATGGTGTTGACTCTGTGACCCCTGAAGGTTCTGTGATTTTCCTCCTAATGGACACCTAAGGTGACTTGTAATGCACCGCTAGCAGAAGCCTTGATAGAATGGAGCGTATTGCTTTCTTGAAGGTGTACATTAGATTCTAGTGTTTACTAGTTATTACTGTGGTAGATCATAGAGTGGGTATTTGTGTTTGAAAACGGAAAAGGAGGAGAGCACTTTATCTTTTACTTGGACTGTGTGCGCCAGTTTGTTTGAGTTGACAATTGGACTGAATGATGGCTGCAAATGTGGCTTCTGTATTCACTGGCTCCTGTATTCCCCCAAATTGGCCAGTGTGTTCTACAATATAATATAATATAATAATGGCAGAAAGATCTGATTTTAGCAATATTTTTTTATACCTTTTAATAATTCATAATGTTTCACCAATACCAACTAGCAAAAAGTAGCTACTACTGTATGTACTGTAAATGTGAATAAATGTAGCTACTAATAAAGCAGGTGCAGGGGGAGCACGGCGGCTTAGTGGTTAGCATGTTAATCCCCCAGTCCAAAGACACGCGTTGTAGGCTGATTGGCATTTCCAAAGTATCCGTAGTGTGTGAATGGGTGTGTGTATTTAAAAAAAAAAAAAAAAAAACAAGTATGGAGGAGAGTGACACAGAGCGAAATTCCCTACAACACTCCGACACGTGGGAACAGACATCAGCCCAACTAACAGATGAGGAGTTTGTTCCAAAAAGAGAGGTACTTCTGTCGGTTGGCTTCCTGAAACTTGAAGTTGAATAAATAATATTTCATTTTTATAGTTTGTATTCATATTGTTCCCATTTTGACAGTGGTGTTGTTTTTGTTCTCGTTGGTTGATAGTGCTGTTAAATTTCACTTCCGAATAAAAGGAGAAAAGAAAAAGTACCTTTCGATCGGATTTAGTTCACAGCATCATCAAAAAGCAGTCATGTAGTTATTTTGTATAGACAATTCTTTCCACCAATTTTAAGAGAAAATGCAATATATAATGATGTCCACCATTTGAAGATATAAAATTAGCATATATTGTGATCTAAGATTTTCTCCATATCGCCCAGTCCTACACTGAAAATCCCAGGAGCTCAGTAGTTTCTGAAATATTTAATCTACCCTGTCTGGCACCAGCAACCATGCCACGATCGCAATGACCGAGATCCCCATTTCTGGTGTTTGTTGTGAGCATATGATGTAACTGAAGCTCTTGACCTGTGTCTGCATAATTTTATGCATAGTACTGCTGCCACATGATTGGCTGATTGGATAATTGCATCAGTAAGCAGGTGTACATGATGGTGTTCCTATTAAACTGGCTAGTGAATGTTCTTTGCACACAATGTCTGGACTGAAATTCCTGAAAGTCCTATTGGTCTGAAGAGCCTTGCCGTGACTTGATGTCAAGCGGTTAGTCAAACATAAGTATTTACAGATCAGAGGACATTTGGATGCAGGTCCATGACTGACTATGAAGTCCAGGTCCAGGTGCTTCACTGCTGTGGATGGTAGAGTTGGTCAGTGATGGCTGCAGTACTTCCTCTCCAGTTGAAGTAGTTTGACGCTGGGTTGAAAGGGCAGTTATGACTTTTGATACCTGAGCGATACATTCAAGTGTGTTTGCAATATAAGGTCTGTTTGGCCAAATGAAATTGCCTCCCTCTTGACTCGGTCTGGGCTCCTGAGGTGCACAGGATTGGCATGTTCCAAATAAAGAACACAGACGAATGGTCTTATTTGGTCATTTATGTCTGCAATTGTAAAGAACCATTCAAAAATTTCAAAAGCTTGTCTCATTTCTGCAATAGTCTAATAAACACTTATAATAATGTTCCCCCTAGCATCCCTATTTTTATGTTAATAATTCAGCAAATGTCAAAAGTGTAGTTTGCATGTAATGTATATTTAGCTTGTCATTTTCATTTGAAAACTGCTATTTGTACTTTTTCCCTCTAAGTGTGTGTCTTCTACTCCCAGGGTGTGATCAGTGTGCAACTGGTGGTTACCATGGTAATGGCCTGCGTGATTCAGAAAATTATACCTCACTACTCCTTCGCAAGATGGCTGCTTTGCAGTGGCAGGTAATGAGCGAATGCAACGAGACTCTTTTGTGTTTATTGACCCTTCGAGCGCTGTAGCATTGTATATCAGCAGTGCTGTTCAAAGGCAGGTTCAACATGATGTACTTTTGCTCAAGCTCTAATTTTATTGTTAGTATAATGGGCCTGCCAAAGATGCATCATTACGGCTCATCAGTAGGACTAAAGGGCAGCATCAGAAAGTGGAATAACCCGAGAGGACCACGACGAGCCCCGCCTGGTTCCTCCTAATTAGCTCCATGTGTTTAGAGCAAACAGCTTCTCAGAATGTGTTCAATAATTCATCAGTGCTTGTTTGGGCTGTGAAACTTTTTGAATTTTTATATATTTTTTTTTTGCTAGTTCAAACACAAGCTTTTTTTTGCCCTAGAGAACTCCATAATTGAGTTTTCATTAATGAATAAATAAACATGGAAAACAACTGAAAGCGGCACAGCCCTCTCAGGACTCGGATGATTTCCAAACAAAGTTGAAGAGGTTGTGCAAAAAAATAAAATAAAATCTTCAAAATTTGCCTTGTTTGTGTTTATATGTCCTGGCTTGCATGTTCCAGTCTGCGTTGGTACCAGCATCCAACAGAAGAGGAGTTGAGGAGCCTAGCTGGAAAGCACCAGAAAGGAGGGAAGAACAAAAAGGACAGGTATGTAGTACAATTGAGTGTTGTTTCTTTATAACGCCCTATAAACCAGTGTGAAATTGTAGTGCTGTTATATTTGCTCTTAACATGCACTAGTTTCTAGTATGATTCTCAGTAGCTTTGTTCCAATTGTACACTGAAAGTCCTGCATGTTAATCCCTTAAATAGTACAGATGAGCCAATGACCACCTTGCTTGTTCTGCTTACCTTCTGGTAAAGTCCTTCTCTTCGGAGCCATGCTCT